GGATCTCATCAATTGGGTTCCTTTGAAACTTTGAGTCGTATCATTCATTGCAAGCTAATCTGCAACTCGATTTCCTTCGGCTGAATAATGATTTCATTCTGCATGTAAAGAGTTAGCAGTTTTTTTCATTAGAGTTTTCATTTTCATTAATCGTATTGAGCCAAGTACAAGATGCATTCGATTTGTATGAAGTGTATAGTTAAATTAAATAAATAAATTTATCGTCTATCCAAAATTTCAAATTTAAGAAGGGATATATTTTCTTTGTTAGAAGATTGAAGTAACAAGGTGAAATGAATCTTAACTTTTCTAGATCCACCATATACATTTGGGGACCTTTGATTCTTTGACTTCAAAAATCAATGATTCTTGAGGAGGGTTCTGTACATTATTCATTTGACTTTTGAAATTAATCTGATAAAACAATATCATTTGACTTTGATTTAATAAAGAAAAAACTGTATCCAGTATTTTAATGAAAGAATGAAGCAAAAACTCCTGGTTTTCAACATATCTTCAATCCCACGATTTTTTATTCTTGTTACTTAATTTACGTGTTTGGTTACACGCTTTTGCACGTCACTTAGCAAGAAGTTAACTGTATACGTGTTAAACTCGGGTTTTTCAATTTCTTTATTGTCGTTCTCCTTTGCTTCATCAAAAAGCGTTCTTAGATTTCTTCATATTGCCGTTCGGTAACCCTTAATTTTTTTTAATATTTTAAACACACCCCAAAAGTAAATAGATCGTCATACTTCTACACCGTAGACATTATAAAATACTATAGAAATAATCAAAAAAACGTTTCTAAATAGAAATACAAGAGCCTACCACAAGATGAATGAAGATTTTGCAAAAATGCAAAAGGCAAGATTTGCTTAGAGAAATTGTAGAATTGCAACTTATGGCGAGTTTAGAATTGTTTGTAAATTGTATACGCTGGACAATGTAAGTATAAAATTTAACATACTCCACAAATATCAAGATATCGATAGATATTGAGTCAATTTATATTACACTAGTATCATATTTTCTAATGTGGGCTAAAATATTAAAAAAATAAGAATAATGTTATTCATAATGAAAACTACCGATAATCGTCTTACGTGGTCATGAATCAAATAACAAAGCAACACGTGTATGTCTTGTAGGACGACTACCGATTGTTTTCACTATAAATAGCATTACACGAGAGAGACATACAATTTAATTTGACAAACATGAACTAAATATAGACCCTTCTTTCTGTCTTTTATTTTAAATCATCTTTACCAAAGGTGCAAGAAAATTCTTTAATCGGGGCAAAGAATATATTTCTAAAACTTTCGAGTGTAAATTCATATTTCTTCCAATTTTATTAAATCCATAATTATGTTATAATCTTTGCACCTTTTACCCACATTTCCGCGTCAACTCCTCCCATTGTCACCCTATAAACCCTAAACTCTTACATTCTGTTCCTCTTAATTTACATTCCACAAGGAACTTGAACCCCAAAAAAAAAAAAGAAAAAAAGCACAATTTCTTCTCTGATATCTTGTCTCCTCTCTCCACCTTCAAAACCACCATGAAGGTGATCAATATCCTCTTCATCATTGCTATCACTATGGTCTTAACCCTTACACTAACCATGAAAAACATAGAAGAACCGGCCTCGAAAAGCTCGATCCTGCATCCAGACGGGGAAAAACCTGTAGCCCTCAAAAGGCAGGTGAGCCGGTTTCTCGCCGAAAAAGAAAGGAATCCCAGAGCAGCTGATCATTGCATGAAGGACAATGAAATATGCCAGATTATGGGAGGAAAAAGCTCAAAATGCTGCAATAATAAGTGCATGGATTTGGATAATGATAAGAATAATTGTGGGGCGTGCAAAAAGAAGTGTCGTTACACAGAAGCTTGCTGCAGAGGGGAATGTGTGGATCTTTCATATGATAAGAGGCACTGTGGGCAGTGCAATAACAAGTGCATGAATGGAGGTTACTGTATTTATGCCATGTGTGATTATGCTTAAAATGAGCAGGAAATTCTCCATGGATTGATTTCATTGATAATAATTAAGGTTTGGAATTATAATTTATTAATTATTATAAATAAAAAACCACGTTTGATTTGGTGGTTCTCGATGGATAATGTATTGTTTTACGTTTATCCATCAACGATTTATCTAATTATAATGCAATAAGAGTGTGTGTCTGAATTGTGTGTATTAATTATAGTCTGTAATCTGATAATTAGCTCATATATTTGTTCTTTTTACCAACTATTTTTGTTCTATGAGTGGGAGAAACAATTTGATTTTTTGTTATCTTTAATTTGTTTTCCAATGAATCATGTGTTGCTGTCGTGTCATAATTTTGTTAAATAGTCGATCGATCAAATACTCTCTTAGAGCAAATTTGATGCATAATATTAGTCTGAACTCAATAATATAATGAATAAGATTTTATTTGTTTATTTATTTCAAATATTTTCCTTACTATTTAATCCTTGTTATTGTGCCAAAACTTCGTTGATTTCGTGTTATACTATATTTATAGTGTTTTGTCTTTGTTTAGTTTATGAATTAATTTTTTTTATTCTGATATTAAATAAAAGAATTCATTTTAATAATTTTTATTACTATTTAATCTCCTCCTTTGTTGTGTTTATTGTTTGGTTACAATTTCTCTTATAAGTTTCATCGATGTATCATTTATCTAGTGCTTAGTTATTTCTTCAGTGGTTATAGGGGATTTTAATTTTCATTTATTTTTGTCCTCAGAAATGGACAAAAAATTGAATAAATTATATTTGTACTATTTTACTAAAAATAATGAATTATAGAATCTAATAATTCTCAAATATACGTAATTTAAACCTATTGAAATCGTAAGAGAAAATTTGAAGTTTAAGGCTCATTAACCTAGCTATAAACTTGGTTAGTTTGTTTGATATACAAGCTTTAGTATCCAATGGTCAATTGGTAATTTGGCAATCAAGCAAAGGTAATCTTGACCGAATTATTAATTAAGTTCCTCAATATATGGTTGCTTCATTGCAATGTTTTAAAAACCAATCCGGCTGTTGACCCGGAAAAGTTAAAGGGTCGAGAGTTGAAAGGTCGAACCGGGATCGAACTGGTTGTAATATATAAATAAATAATATATCATAACAATTGACAAAATTAATTTAATTTTTCAAATTAATTAATGTAGAGACAAAAACACCTATTAACGATTACATTTGATTACATTTAATTTTTATTTTGTCATAAAGTGAATTGTTTAATACTTCTATAGTATTTTATTGTGCTAATGTATTTATAAAAAAAAAAATTTAAAAAATCCCATATATTTGATTGAAATTGAAAAAAATTAATTTGAAGAGATAAATAATTTACACCAACATGATTTTCCCTTCTTTTTTTAAGTAGAGCTACTGCTTTTTTAATATATTTAACTTTTATAGTTGGAAAACTATTTAGTATTTACCAACTCAGCAATCCTTTTATGAATCCCACATCGGAATCTCATATCAAATCCCTTGAAGATCACTCTATATATGTGCAGGCTAATGTATTAAAAGTGTTTAATATAGGCCTTTAATTATTGTGGATTGAAACCATAAAACAATAACATTTAGTCTAGTTATCCAACCTGCAAAATCAGAAGAACCGGTAATGGGTCATTCGGTTTCTGGTTTAGAGTCAAATTTTATCGGTTTTTTTCCGGTTTTAAATTTAACGGTTTTTGAGCAGGAACTAAATTGGATTTTGGACTGATTCACGGTTGAACCAGTAGATCCGATCTGATTTTGATAACATTGCTTCATTGTCATAATTGAGAATCTAGTTAGCATATTTTAATTATATATTAACATTAAAGCTTGTATGATCAAAGCTTGATGAGAGCAATGTTGGGACTCTTTTTTTCTACGAGTCAACTGAAAAATATTTTTGCAAACTTGTTAATCTTGTATTTGAACTCGTCAAGTTCAGCGTATTAAACATAGCCATAAATTTGTCATTTAACATTCTTATTGAATTTCAAGGAAAATCACATGCATTTTTTAATTAGAATGACCATTTCATAGTATACCAACAAAAATGGATCTTCATGTGTCATCACATGCAATACTGGCAGATTTTGCTTCATTTTGGTGCTTTCTTTTTCTTTTTGTTTTCACTTATTTGACGGAAAATGTAGTCCAATTTGCTTTGCCCCTTCAAATTCACTCCAAGCTCGTTACGTGAGAAGAGCAAGGAAGCATATATACAGTCAAAGTTTGATCAAAATTCTTAAAACTCTTATTTGATTTAGATTAAAATCAGACTTTTAGTAGATTTTTGATGGAATTTGTGGTTAAAAAATTATGTATCCTATAAATATATAGTTAAAATAAATTATTGAGTTTAACGTAAATTTTAATCTAACTTCTTAGTCGAAGAGCCTAAAATTTGAACATATTGGAGTAATGGACAGGAGCTAGACTGAGCCATCCAATTTGAATTTAGGGAAATTAAGACAAATATCGTAGAATTAAACACAACTTTCTTTTAGCAATGGATAAAAATCAAACTATATCACACAGTCTGATTGAAAATTGAGAATTACTCTAAGCTTAGTCCATGTTTGATAGGTCATGATTTTCATGGAAAATAAAAAATGAATTCCACTCCACTTTTGTCATGTTTGATGACAATTTTTTTCCATGAAATTTATTTTCTTGTTTTTCTTGCCACATGAACATTTTCTTGGTTTTCAAGAAAAACCAATTCCCACCTATTGGTTTTCAAGGCTATGTTGCCGAATTTTTATTTTATTTTTTATTTTTTGGCAATGGAAACAAATTCTATCCCTAATTGTAAAAAAATATTTTTCTTTAATTGACAATTTCCATATAAAATAAAGTTAAACGAATACCAAAAGATAGATAATTTTCTTGACTTTTTTTTTTTTTTTTTTTGGCAATGGAAACAAATCCTATCCTCAATACAATAAATTCTATTCCTTTAATTGACAATTTTCATGTAAAATAAAGCCAAACAAATACCAAAAAGTACTTTTATTTCAACATTTTTCACGTAAAAAATTATATCAATCAAACACAATAATTGACAATTTTCATTAAAATAATTTCTAGGCAATTCAATTATCTGAAATTCGTTTTCTTTTTACCCAAATTTCATCTTTGCAATCAAACGTACCTTAGGTCAAATTACATGCAGAAAACCTAAAAATTAAAACCCACTAATATAACTAAAAACCTTGTGATCTGCAACTAGTTTTGTTTTTTCTTTTTATTGTTTTAGATTTTTTTTTAGTTCGCTTTTTGATTCTTGATCCTTAATATTTTACGAATCAATATGTACTTTTTTTGTACCTTGTTGTGTTTACCGTTACTTTCTTTGTTATGATTCGCTGTTTGATACTCATTTTAGAGGTTATTTTTCAAATTCATTTACAATCACATCTCATGAAACTCACAATTTAATCAACTTTTCAACCATATTTCATCAATTTGTATCAAAGTCTACTTACCTAAACCAAATAGGACTTAATATTATATTTTTTGCTACTCTTAATTAATGTCTCAATCAGTGGGCGGACCTAGGGGGTCCTATAGGATTAATTTACCCCCCAATTTCTGACCTTTTTCTGCTTTATTATTATTATTATTATTTTTTAGATTGTCAAAGTATAAAACCTACATTATAAATATATTATGCAATCGGTAATTCCAAACTCAACTTTGTGCCCCTCTCTCTCTTTCTCTCTCTCTCTCTCTCTCTCTCAATCTGTCAACTACGGATTGTTATTACCATTTACGATTTACTCACTATTTGAAAATTTAATTGTAACCCTCTAACTAAAAGTGTCTGGGTCCGTCCCTGGTCTCAATCCTGTTCATAACAAATGCTGTTACCACTATTGTGTTTTGTGTTTCTTCCTTTTCTCTAGCTTGTTCGTGCTTTCTTGAAAGATTAATAATAGTTGGGTGAAACTCTATAGCATTAAAGGGAGCCAAAAATGAGAGTAAAAGCACGCCCATTTCTCGAAGGTTTTCTTTCATTTGTCATGTCACGAAATATTAACGCTTCTGAAAAAAAATAGTCGTACAAAAAGAACAAATCAGAGTAACAAACGCAACACAAAGAACTTGACGCCTGTGGCGTAGAGGTACTGAGTGTCAAATAAGCTTGTTGATTTGATTGGTTAATATGTACATTCATTCAACAAAGCAACTCGGTCGAGAAAATATTACAAATAGGCAACTCGACTACAATCTCTAGATGAAGCAGAGATTGAGGGCTCTTGATAATTCAACAAAGTTATCCATTCGAATCAAAACGGCATGGTTGGGTGACTTTGTAACTTTAAAGTATTTTAAATTGCGAAATTTAACCTAAAAAAGATGTTGAAATGACAAAAGAAATTGTAAATGGTTGTAATTTAATAATAGATCTTGCTACATGTACAGAGTGTGCCATTATTATTATAAGGTCAATTAGTACAAAACGTCCCTACGTATTATGATTTTTGTGAAAAACATTCAAACCTTTCTTTTTTTGGCGCATTTCATCCCTACATTTACCTTTTTCTTGTGCAAAATATCATTTTCAATTTTTTCTCATTAAAAAGTTATAAAATGACTAACATACCTTTCTATTTAAATAAAAAAACAAAAATAAAGAACTAATTGTAATCATAGTCCCAATTTTTAAAAAAGTTCAAAAAAGTCCCTAATAAAATAAAAAAAATAAATTCTCCATCTCCACCTCCTCCACCACCACCACCAATTTTCGTTAGTTGCCCTGGCCACTGGAAACTACCCTCCATGTCGACGGCCTCTCACATATAGCACAATTCAACAAACAACCAAGTTAGAGATAGAAATTGGTGGAAAACAACCCCGATTTTTCGCGCCCTATACAAATCGATTCGACCACTTTCAAAGACACTCATGATCATCCACTTCCACCCATCATCTCCCATTATCTACGCGAAGGTCGTAATGGATTAACATCACCAAAAAAGGCCTTAAATGTTGCTAAATCTTTTTGTAAAACAAGCTTGGTTCATAGGCACAATGAGGCAGTAGCGCCTCTGCTAATTGATGGGTCCCAAGCTATTTTTCCACCAAATTGCCACCAATCGAGCGTCCAGCAGCCTCATAAGACATTGCATGTGCATTCAATTGATTCAATCCAACCTCCAATCGATCCAATTTTTCAAACCAATTCTGCAAATTCTTCTAGGGCAAATGTGCTTGCACTTTCTCCTCCTATTCCTCCTCTCTCAGTTCCACACCAATTCTCTTCCCAGAGGACTCTTTACCCATGGAATCCTCCTTATTTTCAGTCACAAAGGCCACCATTGACCAGGGATTGTTCACACTTGATGAAACCCAGTAATATTTATGGATATGGTAATGGACCTTGCGGTTGTAATGGTAATGTTATAGTCGGAGCCCGAACTAGAACTGGAGAATTAGCTCCACATCAGCTCGGAATGGTGCAGATGCAAAGGGTAGGTGGGGTTGGGTCGTTTGAATCGGTGCTGATGGTCCAAAGGACAACTGCAGAAAAATGACTCAGGCTGTTTGGTGTGAACATGGAGTATCCCATGTTGTCTTTACAACTATGTTCGGACTTTTGAACTTTTTTTTTAGTTGGGACTCTTTTGAACTTTTTTTAAAATTTGGGATTATGATTGCAATTAGTTCTTTATTTTTGTTTTTTATTTAAATAGAAGGGTATATTAGTCATTTATAACTTTTTATTGAGAAAAATGATGAAAATGATGTTTTGCAAAGAAAAGGTAAAGGTAGGGATGAAATGCGCTAAAAAATGAAAGGTATAGACGTTTTCCACAAAAATCATGAAAGGTAGGGATGTTTTGTGCTAATTACCCTTATTATTCTTATTATTATTGCAAGATTGCCACATGTCAACACTACTTGGGTCTATTTGAATCTTTTTTTTTCCCCAACAGCTAATGCAGTTGTAACACCTAGCTTCCTGGCATTTTTCCTTGACAAAATGCCTTGTACAAGTGGCTTAACTCATTAATTATTATATGTGAATTCCTATTTTTACACCTCTATTTATAAGTTAGATCATGTGACAATCAACTAAGCAAAAAGTTACGCAAAGGTCAGCACTTGGCCACACATTGCCTCTTTCACAAACCCTTTCCAAAGCAACTAGGACATGCCTTTAGGTTTCTCATCTAGGACAATTGTTATTCGATGCTGCATCACCTCTCCGACACAGTTCATATCTAAGACGATGAGTATCTGCTGCAAGTCTCACCTCAAACAAATTGCACAAAGTATATTGTATAGAATGATTGATATGATAACTCTGCAAGTTGACTCCTTATTAAATTACTGTCTTTCTGCCTATTTAGGCTATGGAAACCATATGCTATAGTTGCTATGGATTGATGAAATTGAGCTAGGCCAAAAAGTCATCAGGATGAGGTCTCATGTAAGCCACATGTCAAGCATCGGGTGAGCATTGACTCATCTCTCTTGGCTTCAAAGCTCATTGAGAGGGACAATGAAGACAGTAATCTTCCTTTCTCTTAGGAGATCAAGACAACATTCATCCCCTCCAATTTTGCGATGCCCAGGATCCCTTTATTTGTCCCATCTGATTTCTAGAAATCATTCGTCCCCTTCCTTACCCTTTGGTTTTATCCCAAATAAGATTTCTAATGAAACAATTGTTTTATAGATAGTCATTAAAGGTAAAAAATTGTAAATTGAATTATTATATGTGAATAACTATTCTAACCTAGTATTGCTTTGTCTTACATATAAATATAGAATTATATAAATTCTCCAATAAGCCATTTTTCGAAAAATCACTTCTTAATAATATATCATTCCCACACAGCAATTTCCAAGATCACTAACCCTTGGTTCTAGGGCTAGATTAATGTACTCTCTCTCAGAACTTGGAAAAATTTTAATCAAAGAATAAAATAGTTTTTCAAATCAAAATGGGCCCACCCAAAACAGGGCCTTTTACATGCTGAACAATCCCAACACCGTCTCATTTTGACAGCCCACACTTCCCTTCTCTACTCACACAGGGAAAAGGGGAGAGATGTGCAACAAGACACAGAGAGAGGCATTTAAAGACACATTCCCTGTACATATGGTCAACAGAGAGTACCAAAAGGCCATTAGAAAACATATGGGCAATTTTCATTAACTAACAGTCAGATAAACATCTTTCTTTTCCTTGATTACTTTCATCAGCACACTTTTTAAGGGCCTCTTAATTTCCTGCAAAATCCACATTTTATGTTCCTTTTTAAAGAATGTTCAGCTCACTTGAAAGAAAACTCATTCAGCATTTTTGTGAAGTATTCAGTCATAATACTTAAATAAGGACCTCAAAAGGTACTTTTTAGTAAGCAGGAGCTCAACGTGCTCTTACACCATTCTTCCTTTAAAGTTCTCTCAAACTAGGAGTCTAGGACCTGGACCCCACACTAAAAATTCCTTTTATGAGCTTCCCACCCCAAGAAAATCAATGAATGCCATGTTTTTCTTGTTAAATATTCCATTCTCGTTTTCTCCAAACAAGAGGAGATTGGCCCTGTTGTTGGCTACTGATTCTGATGCAGAAACTTCAGAATTTGATTCTGAGTGACCTGATTGATCCACATTTGCAGCATTTGTTACATGCCCTTTGCTATACACCTGATTATTACCCTGGATGACGCTGCTTCCTGCATTGATCAGCATTTTTCATTAAGAAAATTATCATAATTTTGTCTCCATGGATCAAGAAGAAAAAACATGCTGTCAAGCCTTTTTCGAAGTTTCAATGCATCATAGATATTAAAATAAGTGGATAATTGAAATATTTAAGGAGACAAAATGATCAATACTCATAAGAGGCTCCAATAAATTTATCTGCTGGACATGACCAAAATTGCTGGAAATTGTTGATTCACTGCCTTCATTATTTTGGACCTGTGAAAAAAAGGGTTTTTTTCTTCTGTAAAAATGGTTTTGATCTCTGTGTTTTCTTGCCATAATCACATGCCAATGGTTTTTCACTGCGTTATCAGTTCGGCCTGGGAATAATTTGGCTATCATAGCCCATTTGTTGCCATACATTTTGTGTGCAGACAAAAGGCTTTCCTCTTCCTCTTCTGTGAATGATCTTTTGTTAATCCTTGGATCCAACTGGTTAAACCATCTTAATCTGCAACTTTTTCCTGCAATTATCGATGAAGGTAGCCACAAATTAAGTCTTCTTGTTATTAAATTTGACACGTTATATCCCCCCCCCCCCCCCCCCCCCCCTCTTCCCAAAAAAATCC